CTGGGACTACAGGCACCCGCCACCTCGCCCGGCTAGTTTTTTGTATTTTTTAGTAGAGACGGGGTTTCACTGTGTTAGCCAGGATGGTCTCAATCTTCTGACCTCGTGATCTGCCCGTCTCGGCCTCCCAAAGCGCTGGGATTACAGGCTTGAGCCATTGCGCCCAGCCAATTTTTTGTTTTCTTAGAGACCAGGTCTTACTCTGTTGCCTAGTCTGGAGAACAGTGGCGCAATCATCTCACTGAAACCTCAAACTCCTGGGCTCAAGCAAACAATCCGCTGGCCTCAGCATCCGTAGTAACTGGGAATATAAGCACAAGCCACTATACCTGGCTTATTTATTTATTTAATTTATTTATTTATTTATTGACGGAGTCTCGCTCTGTCGCCCAGGCTGGAGTGCAGTGGTGCAATCTTAGCTCACTGCAACTTCTGCCTCAGCCTCCCAAGTAGCTACGATTACAGGTGCCTGCCATCACGCCCGGCTAATTTTTTTGTATTTTTAGTAGAGACAGGGTTTCACCGTCTTCGCCAGCTTGGTCTTGAACTCCTGATCTTGTGATCCCCCCGCCTCAGTCTCCCAAGTGCTAGGCTTACAGGCATGAGGCACCACACCCAGCGTGCCTAGCTAATTTTTTAAATTTTTTTTTGTAGAGACAGGGGTCTGTGTTGCTCAGGCTGGTCTAAAACTCCTGGCTTCGAGCAATCGAACCACCTCAGCCTTTCAATGCACTGGGATTACAAGCATGAGCCACCATGCCCGGCCTAGACTTAACAGGAATGGTATCATATCATATACATCCCTCTGTGATAGGAAGCTTTAACCATGGAAACACAGTTTGCTGTAATTCATGCATTTTCACTGCTGTATAGTACTCCACTCATGAATATAGTCAAACTGATTTACCCTTCTTCTCTTTAGTGTCACTGATGATTTTTCCATTTTTTGGCTAGTATGCTTTAACATTCTGTACACATGTAGAAGGGTTTCTCTACAGTTTCTGCTGAAGAGTAAAATTACTGGTCTCTATGCTATGCACTTTGTCAACTTTGTAAGATACTATAATGTCAATTTCTTTCCCAAAGCACTTATCCCAACGTCCTCTCCCACCAGCAGCATGTAAGAGTCTCTATTCTAGCCTGGGCAATATAGCAAGACCCTAATTCTACAAACAATTTAACAATTCATCAGGCATGTTGGCATACTTGTAGTCCCATCTGTTTGGGAGAGTGAGGCAGGAGGACTGCTTGACCCCAGGAGTTTGAGGCTGCAGTGCACCATGCCTCCCGGGTTCATGCCATTCTCC